AGTGACTGCTGTCAAATCAGCTATGCATCATTAGTGTGGGAAGGCAGAGGCGAAACCTGCTGATGGAACTGCTGCGGATCCCCCCACCTGCTTCTGCCGGTAACCCGAAATGGACAAACAGAATTGTGTGATGGTATTTAATTGCATTTCCCTGCAGGAGAGTTGTCAAGCAAAAGGTTCCCCACTGGCCTTTACACATTACTCTTCCAATTAAAGGTACAAATTGGGTGCTGTGTCTTAGCCTATTAAAATTCCTTAATATTTCATTGTAACTACTCTTTGAATTAAACAAACAACACAAAAAAGCGAGGCTTTCCAATGACGGACTGAAATACCTCCCGTAGCTGGCTTCATCAACATGCAGATGACTATTTTCTATTGATATTTTTAATGTGTGCTTTATTTCAGATGCATGTTTTAGCCCCTTTGTGTACTATGCATGGTATTGTACTCTTTTGTGTTTTATATGAGGCTTGAACATATTGTAACATTTTACTTTTCATGAAAGTCCTTCTTTGTCGTAATGGTATTCATCGTAAAATGAGTATTTGCCTGTTCCATTCATATAAGTGTGCCTCTGCATAAGAATGAATCTGCATGTACGTGAATGTGCAGGGGAGTATGCGTGCATGTGTATTAACGTGGTACCTCGAATGTGCTCTAAATTACAAATTGCGTCATATGTCTTTTATGCTTTAACATTATGTGATATGACAAATTATGGTGTGATTTAAACAAGGCACATTGCTGCAATATCACAAAATATGTTGTTGGTGCCAGTGTTCGATTCATAACACTTAAGTATTGTTTGTAAGCAGCAGTAGATGTTTGTTTTATCACTCTACACATTGCACACGCATTCACACATTGACCACACCTATGATTTAAGCATACTCTTTTACAGTGTTTCAACAATTGTGCACACACTTTCACATTTTAAGTGAACGCAATAGTCACTGAAATACAGTGGCGGCTCCTGCAAAATCTCTCAGGGGGGCAAATGTCTGGATGATTGATAAGGATAAGGTCCACCCATGCAATGGATAAATTAACAGCTTAAGCATGTAAAGGCAACTTCACTTCTTTAATATTAATGAAAAATAAAGTGACTCTTACAATACATCTTGTTTGTTTCTATACTCACTATTAATATACAATCCACTCAAGTTTCTTTTATTAAAGATTCCACTAGGTGGCGACAAATTATATTGTTGGATGAAACGTGCTTACGTATGATGACGTAAGCACGTTAGGGCGAGCCCTCCCGGAAGCCATAGAGAATGCATTGTAGCGCCCCCGTTCGAAAAAAAACATCTTTGAATGTAAGTCTATGGGGCCACTCGGGGCGATTCTCAGCCGGAGTGAAATCGCCCAAAAAGAGGCGGTACTCCACAGAACGTGACATGACGCTGATTGGACTATATCCAGAGGCACAGTGATGGCTAGCGTGACTCTGTGGTTGAATGACATTGGTGGTGCGTCGCCCAATCGCCCTAATGAAGAAACCGCCCCTGCTGAAATACTTAACGTTGTAAATGGAGAATGTCATGTGATCGACAATGGCAAAGCTAGTTAATTGATTTTTGGCTTACAATTTTTTGTCAATATGATTTGGAAATAATAGATAGTAATTGTCATTTCTGACTGTGATACCTGTAGATATAATGTGAGTAACTAACAGAAAAAAATATATATTCCTAAAAATGTAAAAATAACAAGACAAATCATGCATATTCATATATTCCGGGATGCCTTTTCGAAAAGCTTTTTGTCCTTGAAATGACCGTGCACTCTATGCTATGACATATGGATGAGAAATACGGACATTAAATGAAGACAATGAAAGGTGTGCAAAGAATGGAAAACGTGCAGAGGTTCGTGCTTTGAATCACATTGAAGGAGAGAGAAAGAGGAACACGTGGGTTAGAGAACACATGCAGGATAAAGACATTGTACTGACTGTGAAGGAAAGTTATTGCATTTGAGCAGCAACGCATCGCTTGGAGAGGTGGTGGCCGGTAGTCGACACTAATAATGGAGTGGCAGCCGAGGAAGGGAATGCACTCGAGGACATGAACCACGGAGATGGAGCGATGACAATTAACTCGTGTGCAGGTGCTGGGTGGGTTCTGGTGGCTTGGGAATACTTTTATCCAGAAGTGGGTTGATGATTATGGCAGGAGATGATAAATGACATTGTCTTCGAAGAGATGATATCACGTGGCACCTCACGTGACGACTTCTTTGTGAGGTGTGGGATGTGATGTCACCTGCCTTGGCCAAGGTTTTGTATTTTATTTAGCCGTTTTTTTATCACCTAGTTTTGACAAATTTTAATAGGGTCAGTGCATAATATACTGAGGTTTAGTTGATATTGGATTGTCTTCATGAGACTTATCGTGACCCTCCACTACAGAAAGACAAATTAACAGAACTAATCCATTAGACATTTCTGACAATATTTGAAATGCATAAAGAAGATGCATAAAGACGTGTTCTTTTCAGTCCAATGTGAAATGTGGCCAGTGGACATCAAAAAGTGTGGAAGCTGTAGGGGGGGAGGTAATCGCTTAGGTAGTGTGAAATATATTAAAATTGAGAAGTGCCAATTTTCACGTGGATTTGGGGCTTAAAGGTAAGTCAGTGGGGACAACGCATTATTTATTTATTTAAATAAATGAGTAAAATTTTAAGGAATAAAATAAGTGACGTGTATTCATGTGCATGAGCCTAAATCATAATACATGTAATTGCGCTCCTGATTATTGCATGAGAATGGGAGGAGATTTTGTTCATTCAAATCTCATTAAATTTACTGCACTTAGATTAATACTGTGGGTAAGACTATTGATGCTTAGCGGATATTACATATAAAATGGAATTGGTTTTAACTATGCATGTAACTGTTTTTTATTGTACATTTATATTTTAGGAAACTGTACAATTAAATCACAATACCATTTCCACCTGGTTAATATATTTAAATATATTTAAACAACGATTTGTTCACGGATAAACATACCTTGTTTAAACAGTGTACAGCTATTTATGCTTTTAATAAAGTGCAACGTTATACACACAAACACTGCATATTACTTGTATGATTTTGATTGTGTATGTGCATATGATTTTGACTGCAAGCATATGAATGTGGTACAGTATATATTTAAACTTTTTCGAGCCAGTTATATGTATGTCTCTATGTATATATGCGGAACTTTTTTCGCACTTTACGTCGCCAACCGTGCTAATTGGGATGCGGGGGGAAGGACAAGAAACTAATTACAAAAAAGTACTTTGAAAGAAAATGAGTTTTCAATCTAAATGTAAAAGTGCATAGCTCCAGCGGCTTCCTAATATTGGAAGGAAGCGCATTCCAGACGGCCGCAGACGCGCATCTGAAAGCGCGCGACGCAGCGACCGCCTTTGTTCGATGTCTCGCAGCCAAACGCCGCTGCGAGGATGACCGAAGTTCGCGTGATGGTTTCTGCTCCTTGACGAGAGCAGCAAGGCATTGCGGTTCATTTGTGAAATGAGTGCGTGCCGTCTGTGTGTGGTGAGTAGGCCGTTTGGGTTTTTAGCACACCAAATGTGGTTGAGTTCGATTACTGCTCAGCACAAATGAGTCATTTAATGAACAATGCAATTATTTTAGAGGTGTTTAATATATGGTATAAAAACTGTCATGGTGGATAGTAGGAGTGCACAGTTGGTTCAGAACAGATGATTGTATCGAATGAGCATCAGTTGGAATGTGACCCAATCAGCATCGAGTGATATGCTTAACAGCTGATGAGTATATACTTGATCCTTTAGTATGTAAATAGTTGATCATGATGTCCAGCGCTGCTTGTACATCCTGCAAGGCTAAAGTTAAACTGAAAAATATTGAGCAGTGATGACCTGTGACTTACTTCTTTTTGCCACATCGGTAAGTTGTGTTTCACTATTAAGTAGTTCAGTTTTAAAAATCACTTCAACCTTATCTCATCTTGACTTAAAGTTTTCGTGACTGCAGGAATTCATATTCATTTTTTTCTATCTATGTGGCTTTACAGAAAGACCCAAATAATACTTATCTCATCTGTTTTTGTTTTGTTTTTCAAGAACAAGATGTCATCATGGCCAAATCCCTTGTTGTCACCGCACCTCCTGAATGCTTTTTCTGCCTTCCACTAGATCCCGTGGCTGTCATATAGTAAACACGTGACAGCCAAGATCTGCCCTAGCAGTCTCACACCATCTGCTCTTGGGTCTTCCCCATGGTTGCCGGACATGTGGAGACCACTCCAATGACTAAACAACGATTAAAAACGAAACTATTTCTACGTGGCTTTACCAAAAGACCCAAAGAATATAACTATTTCTATGTTATCATGTAACGACCTGGCCACAAATGATGGTTCAACGAAGTGGCTTATCATGAGGAAATGTATAGCAGTTAGAAAAAAATATTTAGCATATTTTACATTGCCAATAAGCAATGTATATATTTATTCATACAACTAAAATTGGTGCTAATTCGCCTCTGAACAAAAGTGCTTCAGTGGTGACTGATGTTTTACTTTGGGACCCATCTCTTGTGTTCTTTGCCGAACATGAAGTTGGCCCAGCCAAGGGATGTCATTGGTCCTTTGTGATTAGCCTTCCACAGTCAGATGACTGGATGGTGTGTTTAGTCACATGACACTTTTGATTTTTCCCTGATTTTATGACAATACCTTAAAAATGTCAATCAGTGCACAGTGCAGGAACCCAATGACCGCTGATGAAGACTACATAGGCGGCGTGTGCCATAACCCATCAGTCAAAGATTGTTGGGGGAAAAAAACCTTTGATGTCTAATGCAGGACCATTCTACTCCTGTTTGATTTTTTTTACGTGCATTTAAATGCACGTCTGAAACTGTTGGCCATGCATTGCATATATGTCTTTGTGCGTGTTCCCTTACGCTTAAGTATGCGCGTGGGACTTCTGTGCATCCACAAACACCTCCACAGTGCTGCCGCGGTTCCAGCAGCATCCCGCGTCTCAGACGGTGCAGGAGGGCAGAGTGGCGCGTTTCCAGTGTCGGATCCGAGGCCTGCCGGAGCCGAGCATCCGCTGGGAGAAAAACCGTGCACCCATCGTCACCGACGCCAGGTGCGAGAGGGACATGCGGGCATGCGCCACTCACAAAGCTGCACGGCCGCGTCCCAGAGCACCCAATTACACCCACTGATCAAACATTGTCGCTACATTATATTGCACTGCAGTATTATGGCCTCTGATCAACTCACCTTGAATATTTTTTTAATATATATATTTTATTTTACCAGGTATGGCCCACTGAGCGAACTGGCCACAAACGATAGCTCAACGAAGTGGCTTATCACGTGGAAATGTTAAGCAGCCAAATACTCTTAAACACACGTTTCTACATGTGGAGGGAAAAACCGGAGGATCTGGAGAAAAATCCACGCAACCACGGGGGAGAAAATGCAAACTCCAAATATACAGGCGGCAGGGTCAGGATGGAATCCATGACCTGTATGCCAAGCGTGGCAACTACCATCTCGCTACCGTGGCACCCTGATCTCATTGGTTTCGTGGAAGCTGGTTACCTTATATAAGCACAGTTATATTATAAGCGGCCTAACATTGCATTACATTTGTGGGGGGGGGGAAGGCAAAAGGCAAAAACTTTGCATGTTAGCGCACCTGGATGTTTACCGTATTAGGATGAGTGATGACCATGGCTTGCTGGGTGGTGCAGGAGAGTAGCCACAAAGGTGAGGAAATGACAGTTGAGTGCCACCCTGTCATAGATGTGTGGGTTCTAAGTTTCGGTTTATTTAATGTATTACACCGTGGTCCCGTTTAGCCAGTTGCTTTGGCCATTTTACATGGGAGATCCATGGTGTGAAGGAAACACGCGAGTCAAAAGCAGTACAAGCGTAAAATGACAAGTTAAGTCGAGGTGCACGTAAGCTCTGTATCTACGTCTAACGGTGACATAAACACACGCAAGTCGAAATACACAGTGCACACACACGTGGGAGCAAGTAGCGCTAGAAGAAGTGAGGTATAGGTGCAAGTATGCTCGGTGTTTTGGTTTAATAGGGAAGTCAAGAGGGGGAGTGAAGGGAGGGAACCAAGCTGTCGGTGAGCCACAACGGGTATTCCAGAAACGCGGAGCAGCAATGCCGGAAACACTTTGTTACAAAACAAAGTTTCAGCAAATTGAATTTTTAGTAGGAATAAGGAGGCACTTCTGAGACCACGGGAGGGAGTTAGAGGGACTCAGTAGTCCTTTAGGTAATTGGTGGATTTGTTTAAGAGGAACCTTTAGGACGAAGACAGCCCACTGGTGCTCTCTCTGGATATCCAGGGGGGAACAGATTTGAATTAATGTACAGGTTGCAATGATGAGTTCTACAGGGGGCGTCAAGGGCCAAATGGAGAGTGGAATGGTCTAATGGAATGTTGATCATTGTGGGTCTTGAAAGACAGTTTCGAGTCCAGGATAATGCCTCGATGTTGAAGAGTTGTCAACCTGCTCAATAAGGTGTGAGTCCAGAGGCACAATATGCATAAGTGGCGAGACAGGTTTGGAACAGCCCGAGACTAACATCAATTTGGCCGTTTCGGCATTAATGACTAGTTTTAGAGCATTAAGTTGAAGATTCTCAAAGTCCTGTTGTAAATGCTGTTGTAGCTCCACCATGAAATTTTTGGAGGCCATCAGCGCTGTGTCATCAACAACAAAAAAGGTTTAATGTCAAAGTCAGAGATGCCTTTAGATTGTTGACATACTGAGAAAACAGAATAATGCTGAGCACAGAGCCCTGTGGAAATGCCTTAGGAATGGGGCACCTGTGAGATGATGTATTATTGATAGAAAACATTTTAAATCGGTCAGATATGTAGTTGCCAACCCAGTTGATTGCAACATTTAAAATATGTAGGCATTTTAGCCATTACAACATTATAGCATGATCCACAGTGTAAAATACTTTGGACAAGGTTGGCGCAACGATGACAAGATTGAAGACCGTTGAAGTCAAGAGTATCACGGACCAAAGAGGCTGTGCTACATTTGTCTCGAAATCCAGATTACTGAGAATGGAATAGAGCATATTCTGAGATGAAACTTGTGATTTGTAATTTTAAGGTCTTCTCAAAGACATTGATAAGAGGGGAGAGGATTGAGATAGGGCAGTAATTGTTAGGGTCGTCTGTCATGATAACTTCATGGAGAGGATGCACATTTTAAATATGAATGGTCATTGTTCCCTCTTGAATAAAAGTCTTGCAATTCAGTAAGCTTATCTAGATAAATAATATATATATATTTTAAAAATAATAGCATTTTTATGAGTTTACTCATTGTTCAGTGAAATCAGTCCCTTCAGTGTTTTTTATAGATCAAAGATTGTTTAACCAGGTGAGAACTCAAGAGACCATAATAGTCACATTTGCAAGAGCGAACTGGATCGATAATCTGCCAGTAAGGGGTGATAGTTGCTATGCATAATGCCAATCTAGTAACATTTGGGTAATTCAGAATTCGGAAAAATGTAGGCCCTGACGTCGGCAACACAATGGCCTACTCGTACGAATGATATCAGGGGATCGTTAATGTACGCTGTGTAGCAGATGGCGTGCAGTATCACGGTTATTACGCCCGCAGTATTAACCAGGGCGGCCGCTGGATTCGAACCATGTACTTCTGCAACAAGTGGCTAACGCTAGCGAAACATCCTTAACAGGAATGCTCTCTCTTTGCACATAGTTTAATTGCGTGAAAATAGTCACAGTTAAACATTTTCTTATTATTTTTGATTGTGTATTGGGGTTAATAGGTAGCAAATGAGAATTTTTTGCAGATATTAGAATAAATATCCTCTTATTTGCGTATCCTTGATAGACTCTGCCCACTTCTTTAGCGGTGTAAGGTGTCCAAATGTGTGTGTGTTTAACTCTGCGTTATGAGATAGAGAAATTTCCATGTTGGACTCTCACGATGGGCGCTGCATTAACCTTGTGTTAAAGAGTAGCCCCCCGGAGAGAGAAAAAAAAACAGATGTCACAAGGCTACAGTGCATCCAAAGTCACTTCCATACGTCTATTGCCCATATTGTCACATGATAACCAAATTTAGTTTAGTACCCAGAGCAGGAATATTCTGAGTTGAGTGACATCCCAAATATAATATATTGGGATTTTTGTGTGTAGACATTGGTGACAGGCTGAGACTACAAACTCAATGCATTTGATAACCCGCTTTAATTAAGGGTGACTGCCTCGATTCAAAACTCTGAGTCCCGGCAGTGGCAGTTCAGAGCTCTGACACACTATTAACCCCCCATGCGCCAACGCGCCAACTCACCGAGCCATTTTTCATGAATCGGTCGTTCCACCGAGCCCAGCTGCTCCATAATTTATGTGCCGCATTAGCTAAGTGTTCTGTCTGCTGTAAAGTTGAGAGTGGATGTGCAAAAGACCTTGTAACATCTTTCCCAATAGCGGGCTATTGTTTAATAGCATCATATTTCACGACGCCTGCACTTACTTAAAAAACATGGTTCCCAAGGCGTTTCAAATTCCTACGATTTTATTTGTAACAGAAATAGTGCAAACTAGTACCAGAGAACCCACCACGTGATTACAAAGAATCAGAGTAGTGACCATGTTAAGCCTCTACTTAATTTGCAACGAAAAAAATAACGAGTGTAATTAGCGGTGTTGCCAAAAATCAGATTGGCACAAGACTGCAACGACTCGACTATGAAATATATTTTCTTAAATTGATTGAGCCGGAAATATTTCTGCTTCAAATGTAACTTCAGATTTTTGGACAATAATTATTACACGAAATATTCGTTTTTTGTTGTTTAGGTTCATTCATACTCTGAGGCACCCAACAACTTCACACGTGAATGATACAATTCATGATTTGGCGCATGCAGACATGCCAATTGGTATATAAGAGGTAGCTGAAGAGGCTGAATATTCTTAAAGCACGTGACCGCACATTATTACATTGGATCTTCGGATGTGATGTTTTTCTCTGAGGCCTATATCTGAAATCGAAATTGTGAGGATGATCCGCATTTTCTTTATAACATCAAATCAGGCGATGAAACAGTTCACAGTTATGATTTAAAAAAAACTAAACATTAAAGTTTCCAGGGAAATAGCAAGTCTACTTTGAAGATATGTCAAGTAAAAAAATGGTCTTGAAACTTTGACAAAATCTCTTACGTGAACTTTTAAATTCGATATCCTCTTTGAGGAAGAATGAGCAAGATTTCTTGGAGAATAAAAATAATTAGGCCCCCAATGTGGATAATCCTGAATGTGAGGAAAGTGTATCTGTTGTATGTCTGTAGTGTGTAGTACAGATGTTCTTTTGTACAGTTAAAATTGATTTCCATCGAGCAAAGGAAAACCTCGGTATCTGTATCTGTTTAACCATTTTCATGTCAAGGCACATGTCATGGCACACGTATAATGGCCAACGATTGCAAATTATACAAAAGCACCTTATACATCCACATTACCGCGGGCAGTACAGTTTAGTAATGCCTTAGGGAATTAGAATACTGGTGGTGGTAGTCAATGCATCAATCCTACACACGCCTACTGGCAATTTAGGTATGGTCTATTGGGCCGCTCAGCCATCCATAGAGCATTATAATGTTGATCAATGAATTATATTTTAGCATTTTATTAGAATTTAATACCAAATTACTTTATTTCGCAGTGTACACTCTTTACTTCAATTGACAATTATGGTGGCCGTCTTATTTGAGCAGTTCTTCATTCTGGCTACAACTACACCTGCTACTCTTGACGATACTATATTGTAATATGGATGTGTGTATTGTAGAAACTGTGCAGTGCTCGAGTCGTTGGGCTTGATTGCCCCATTAGTTGTTTCCCGGTGTGATGACATCCCAACCCTTCCTTCTCAGTAATCACACTTGATTGCAGATTCTCGCATTGGATGTAGATTTTTTTTATTCCTTCCATTTTCAACCTTTTCCCAAAATTATATGACGGGGCAAGGCCATCGTGATGAGCAAGGTTGCATTGTCTGAACAGGCCCCACAGGTGGCTAATTCATCATGAGATGTATTTACGTTTAAAAAAAATGT